TTTATTCACAATATCATGAGACGCTGAACCCTGGTCCCGGCTGGTGCTTTATTCACAATATCATGAGACGCTGAACCCTGTTTCCAATAGGTGTCACTCCTCACCAATAGACAAGAGTAATCCCACTATAGGGCTAGTGGGTTGAAGCGAATTTTTTTTGGAGGGGAAAAAAAATAAACAAAGTGTGTCTGAGCACATATGCACGTATGTATATGTGAGAGTGAGCGAGTATGTGTGTGTGTGAGAGACAGAGAAAGAGTCATGTAGCGTGCAGCATGTCAATGGTGGGGAGCAAAAGGGCAGGTGTTAAACCACCACTACCTTTCTCGGTGTTGGGAAAAATGAGAATACACATCACACCGCATTTATCGGGGGTCCCGACGAGGCTCGGGCAAAAGAAAGTGTCCGGGCCTTGTGAGCTTGTACAAAAAAAAAAAAAAAAAAAAAAAAAAAAAAAACATAGTGGGGAAAAAAAGAATCTCGGGGAAGGCCCTGAAGGTGATGTGCTGACATCAATATCTGAAGGAACGCATCTACCAAGAATAACAACTAGTTCCATTTTTTACTTATTTTTTCAGTTTTTCTTTTTGATCTTGTTATAGTGCCCTACCAACCAGGCAGGGCGGAATCCACGGACAATTGACATTTTGCAACGAAGGGTGCACTCTCACCTTTACTCAAAATTTTGTATCCAATTGTTTTTACGTCACTATAGATTTTTTTTATTTTATTTTTTTTTCTTCTTTTGTGTCCTCCTGTAACGGTCCGTTGGAGGGCATACTCTCACATGCGCCCGCAATTTTGTATCCATCTGCTTTCACAGTTAAAGAGTTTTTTGCTTTTTTTTGTTCTTCGTTGAAAAACGCAGTGTTGCCCTTACTACGGGAGGGTTGTAATACCCGTTGCTAGCGCACACTCTCACGTACACCCCAAATTTTTTATTTAGCTGCTTTCACGTCGCTGGTATTATTGTTGTTTTTTTTCTTTTATTTTTTATTTTCGTAGAGTACTGAAAAAGAAAACACAATGGGACCCAGACTCGAAAAAATTCGGTTCGCCGTGAAATTCAGGGTTGGTAAAAACAAGTTCGGAGATAGTGGTGGTTTAACCTTAAAAACAAAAACAAAAAAATGTAATAATTTACGAATACAATAGTTTTGTTTTCTGAATTTTGAATAGAAAATAAATACATTGTCTTTGAATACAATGCGTACACGGTTTATTTGAAGTGCACTTCTATTCGAGAAAGCGGACCCATGTTGTTTCGATTTTGAAATGTTTAACGCGAGGATCACGACCTCCTCGACCTCCTGCGGGCAGTTACCGGTCCTTTGTCAGTGACTGCCCGTAGGCTCAATAGAAACTCAAATTCACATGTACACGTAGGCTTAATAGAAACTCAAATTGCACTTGCTCTTTGAAGGTCCCCTTCGATTGGACCCTTGTGCATTCGCATCTTAGAGTCGGGTACCCCTTGAGAGGAGAACAATCCATCAAGTCGTGTAGGCTGTTATATGGGGGTTTCAGATTGTCATATACTCATCAGATCGTCGTGTACTCATCACATTAAATTGTCCTGGTTGTTTGGTTGTCTATTCTCTTGGTCATGCTGGTAGTCTGTCTATTTGAGTTGGGGGAGGGCTATGTATGGGTGTTTTATGGAGTGATCTGATGGCTTGCTCATGGTGCACACAGTGTACCAGGGGAGGTTCACTAAGTATCTATATACCTTAAACCGCTAATACCTTTGAGGCTTCCTTTCCGAACCAGTCCGCAACTGGTTGCCAAGGCTGGGAGAAGGCAAACCGAGGAAATAGGGTCGTTGTTTCCTAAACAAAGAATAGAAAAGAAGAAGATGAAAAAAAAAAATACAAAGCGCTCCTGACATGCAAAAACAGGAGTACGCGGCGGAGTAAAAAGAGGATCTCGCTCCATCACACAAAAACAAAAAAATCTCACGACGGTGTATTTAAAAACGAGGACCACATACGCTTGTATCTTTCCATATCCTAGAATAAGATACGTATAAACCTCGCTCCGCTACTCACCCAATGTACAAAATGAAAATGAACTTGTCACTAAACATGGAAAAGTACACCGCCATATTCTATGTTTTTTGTGCATGGGTAGAGAAGTCGAGTGAGCCCCATGCACAAAAGACAAAGTATGTACGACGATGTATTTTTCCATGTTCGAGCGGAAGATTCATTTTCCTCGGGTAAGTAGCGAAGTGAGGCCCGTAGTTGTTGTACAACGTCTTTTCATGATGCTTAGGGCCTCGCTGCACTACTCTCCAGATGCACAAAAGACAAAAAATATGGCAATGTATCTTTCAATGTTTTAGCGGTGAATGCAGTCTCATTTTGCACATTTGGAGAGTAGTGCAGCGAGACCCTTAGTCAGCGATAACGCGCGCACTTTCAACCTCCATTGTGGGGAACCGTTTTTTCCCAATGAAGTATATTGCCGTTTTTTTTCCCTTTTCCTGCTTCGAATTTGAGGATGACCTTGTTAGTGACAACGAACGCACTGTCAACCTTGTATGTGGGGAACCCGTATTTCCCAACAAACGGTTTTTTTTTTTTATTATTTTTTTTGTTGTTCTTCCTGCTTCAAATCTAGGTCCAGGCCGAGGCTTTGCCGACCCTGTAGGGGCACCTTCCGACATGCTCGAAGGTAAAAAAAAAAGACAGAGAACGGCCTGTCAGTTCGGTCGACGCCCACTTTTTAGCTCATGCTATATACAGTGTACCGGGGGAGGTTCACTGAGTATCTGTATACCTTAAAGATCTGTCAGTTCGGTTGACGCCCACGTTTTCGTGTCTGCATGGTGCATAAGTTGATAGCCTCAATTGTCTGTCCAGGCCCTGTCCATACCTCAAACCTTCACAAAACCTTTGGGGGAAAAAAACAAAAACTATTGGTTATTTTTTTTTTACCTGTATTGGCATAAGAAGACGTGTGAAGGGGACCTACCCTCTATATTGTACACAAAAGAACTAACAATTGTAGCCAATAGGAGGGAAGGTGACAAAACCTTTATTTCTTTCAGGTCACTTCTTACAGTTTGTAGGTTCTTAAAAAAAACTTGGCATTAATCCACACACCTTTCTGCCAACCTGTGGGGTCCAAGCTTTAGGTTCACTTAGGATATTGGGCCTTGAATTGTGGTCGAATTGATTTAGTGCTTGGTTCGTTGGGTAAAATATTTTTTTTGTCTTCTTTGAGGCGACGAGACTTTAAATTGTGCTCAACTCAAGTTAATAAGTAGTTCTTTCGAAATAAAAATTTATAATTGTATGTCCAGTCATGTTTCTTTGTTTTGTACCTTATAGGATATCAACAATTTATGAGCCCGTTAAAACAATAATGTGTTATGTCCGAAAATTTTTGTGCAAATTCTTTTTTTGAGGCATGTGTAGAAGGTACTTATGTTTCAAGTCATTTTTTGTTCGTACATGAGATTATACGTACTACCCATCACTCACAAAAATAAGCCGTAAAAGGTCACTGATAAATTTAAAATGACGACCGAATGAAACCCTTAGTATTATATGTTGTGAGAGTGTTTATGCGTCAATTTGTTTTTAACCATCTCGTGTTTTTCCTCTCATATCTTTTCGTCTCTGTTTTTTTTTTCCCTCTTCCCCCCCCCCCCCCCCCCCCCCCCCCCCCCCCCCCCCCCCCCCCCCCCCTCTCTCTCTCTCTCTCTCTCTTCCCCCTGTCTCTTATACACACACACACACACACACACACACACACACACACACACACACACACACACACACACACACACAGACCCCTCTTCACGGAAGGTACCCGACAGTAAAATCCGACAACCCTAATAGAAGGGCATAAACTCAAGGGCAAATTCCGCTGGCTACGACCGTATGGTCCACCCCCCGACCGCGGACGTGAGCCTGCTCGACCCGCCTTTCCCCGTACAACTAACGTAGGCCCGGATTTGTCGGCCCCCAGCCCCCTCCCACACGCACATAATAAACACCTTCCCCCTCGCTTTCATCTCCTCTATCTAATGAAACTTCCGTCCTCTTTCCTACTCTTCGTATGAACCCGAATGCGGAAAAAGGAGAGGAGGGGGGGGGGGAGGAATCAATAACAAAAGTCATCGTACTCAAAGATAGACACACACCTTTCTCTGCAGATGTTCTCAAATCTCTACCTCCCAACTCTCCCCCTTTATACCCTTGCACACCACGAAGCACCACACACCCACCCAATACCCCCCTCGTAGACAATTGTGGAGGTGTCCTCAGTCTGCTCCTTCCCATCGTGCAGATTCGATCGTGTAGAGCCTCCGACGCAGAAAAAAAAGGAGTAAAGAAGACCATCGCCCACCACAAGTCCTACTTCTCTCCCCCTCCCTCACATCGCCAGCTTTTTGAAGATATGGCGCGGCGCCTTGCGCGACCGCCCGCGTCAGCTTGTGACATTCCTAAATTCGGCTGAGTTCAATGGCGAGCGACTTCAATCAAGCCCCCGACTCGCTGGCAACGCCACCAGCAAAGGAATGCCGGGATAGGGATCAGACGCGGCAGCGCAGCGGGGCGCCCTCGTTCAGGCAGGGGCAGGGGCAGGGGCAGGGTGGGTGATAACAATAACACACCTCACTCAAGTGTAAAAGACGAGGACGATAAGTACAATGAGGAGGACAATAAGAAAACAGAGCAGCATGATTTGGCCTCGGACTCCTGCTTTCTTAAGAATGTTCACGACCTTTCTCTGGACCAGATCAAGCTTGCCTCGAGTGCTGTCGAGGTCCATCTCCAACTCGCTCAACAACGACTCTTGCTCCGCCAGCGCCCTACCGATCGTCAATCCGACTTCGCCGACCTTAAGGACGCTCTCGTGGAGGTCATCAAGCTGATCGTCCTGTTCCTTTAAAATCATTGCCTGCCTGCTCATCTGGCCGCTGACAAAATCATCGTTCTCCCTTGAAATGGGGTTACTAGCACTGCTGCTTCCCCCCCGACCGCCGCCTCCGCCTCCTCCTCCCCCCGCTCCTCCACTTCCTCCCCCGTACCGCGACGAATCGACTGCCATAGACGTCGAGATTCCGCCCGGCCCTCCCGCGCCCGGGCCGTTGGGTAACCGCATCAACTCCCTCCTCTCTTTCACGAGATCCCGACTGGGGGTCGCGACCTCGGCCGCTGCGCGCCGAATCAATGCAATCTGCTGTTTGGTCGCGGAAGTCCATTTCCTCCGCCGGTCGATCTCCGCCAGATCTAGGCCGAAGCGCGCCAAGTCTCGCTCCGCCACGCTGATCGCTCGGTCGAGCTCATCCACCTGCCAATCAACGCTGTCGCAACTCTTCATTAACTCGTGTGAAAGCATGATCTGGTCCACACTCCCCGGCGCCGCTAGCTTCCATTTTGCAAAACTGTTATTGACCTTATTAACCGAGTCCTGAATCTCTTCTTTCACCAAATAAAACGGGTCTTGCGCGGACATCGGGGCTGGTTGACGTGGTCGAGGGCGGGAGGGAGGTTGTGCTGGGGGGGGGAAGGGGGGGAGGGGGGAGGGGGGAGGAGGGGGAGAGCGGAAGAAATGGAATGCGAAGGTCGTGGGGGGGATGGGATTCGCACTCCCCTACGTTAGGTGTGCCCGCGAATGGTGCCTGCCTTCTCCACTTCTTCGCCTGCTGTAGATGCTGCTTCCTCCTCCTCTGGCCTCCCCTCCCCTCCCCTCCTCTCCTTCCTCTTCTCCTCCTCGTTCTACTGCATGCACTACCTTATCCTCCCCCCGCCTACTATACTGTTCCTATGCCCTCTTCCCCTCCGATGCCGCCTCAGGCATATGGGTGAAGCTCAACAATATCATAGTGGTTTGGGAGGTGGTCGGACATTGAGAGAGAGAGGGAGAGAGGTTGAGAGAGTTGGCAAAAGACAAGACTCAGGGGACAACTCTCTCTCTCTCTCTCTCTCTCTCTCTCTCTCTCTCTCTCTCTCTCTCTCTCTCTCTCTCTCTCTCTCTCTCTCTCTCTCTCTCTC